TCCACAAATGTAATCGATCTGATTCCTATGCATGCCATCAGGTGAAATCCAGGTATATAACCTGCGTTTATGCCTCTTAAAAAATGTATTTGCTATGAATAAGTCATTGATTACACATAGACACACTCAAAACAGATTTCCTTCCTCTTGATAGAGAAGCTGTGGGTGACATTACCTGACTGACATCTTTTCAATGTCATGAATACACTCTGAAAATGTGTAGTGCCACATTCTAACCATATTCCAGAACACATTGTTTCAAATAACTTTCAAAGAGGACTAAAGCATTCTGTCTCTCTCCCTCATTATCACAGTCAAGAAGCCTTGACCTTTTTCTAAAATAAAAAGATTACTCCCTTAACTCTTAAGGCTGAGAATCATATGATATTTTGTGGTTCTTGAGATCTGGATACTGACCAGGGAGAATAGGAAGAGAATTGATGCCTTGAGCTGTGGTGTTGGAGAAGAGTATTGAATATACCGTGGACTGCTAAGAAAATGAACAGGTTCACCCTGGAGAGTATTAAACCAGGCTACTCCTTGGAGGCAAAGATTCTGAAGCTTCATCTGACATACTTTGGACATGTTGCAAGGCAGGGCCAGTTCCTGGAGAGGGGCATCATGCTTGGGAGGATGGAGGGATAGCGTAGGAGAGGAAGACCCTCTATGAGGTAGATTGATTCAGTAACTGGGGTAATCAGGGTCAATGTGTTGGAGACAGTGAGATTGGCACAGGACAGAGCAGGGTTTAGGGATGTTTTTCATAGGGTCACTATGAGTCGCAGGAGACTCAATAGCATGTAACAACAACAAACCTAAATCCAGATTTAACATCCACAGATGCACCAGGGACCAAAACCAATGTATTTGGTACAGATTATGCAAAGGGGGAGGTTTAACAATATTTTGGATGCTGATGAGATCATGAAAAATGATCTAAAATGCTAAATGTACATCCTGCTTTTGAGCCGTTTTTATTTACATATTTGGAGTGAAAGTTACTCCAATGTAATGTGCAAACCGTTGAAAACTCACCCAAATTCTTGAATAGTGGTTAGGCAAGAATCTGAAGGGGTAGTTTTATTATGAGTAACCTTCATTTCTCTTCTACAGGTCAGGATTTACATTCGCCTAAAAAAAAAAAATGAAAGACCTTTATTTCGACATCGACTACTGGCATGAATATTATAACTTCAGTGAGTATGGCACTGGCATGCCCAATATTCTACCAGATTCTGCTCCATGCTATCCAGAGTCTCTTGAAATCAACCATAGCATTATAATCGTCATTTATGCTTTGGTGTTTTTGCTGAGCCTTCTGGGAAATTCCCTGGTGATGCTGGTCATCTTGTACAACAGGGTCAGCTGCTCCGTCACGGACGTCTACCTGCTGAACCTGGCCATAGCAGATCTGCTCTTCGCTCTGACACTGCCCATCTGGGCTGCTTCCAAGAAAAGTGGCTGGACTTTTGGCACACCCCTGTGCAAAGTCGTCTCATTCCTGAAGGAAATCAACTTCTACAGTGGTATCTTACTGCTGGCCTCCATCAGCGTGGATCGCTACTTGGCCATTGTCCATGCCACACGCACCCTGATCCAGAAGCGTCATTTGGTCAAGTTCGTATGTCTAGGCATCTGGGGATTGTCTCTGCTTCTGTCCCTGCCCATCATTCTTTTCCGCAAGACCATCTATCCACCCTCTTTAAGCCCAGTCTGCTATGAGGACATTGGTAACAATACAACAAAATATAGGCTGGTGCTCCGAATCCTGCCCCAGACTTTTGGCTTCATTCTACCACTCTTGGCCATGCTTTTCTGCTATGGGTTCACCCTGCGCACGCTGTTTGAGGCCCACATGGGGCAGAAGCACAAGGCCATGAGGGTCATCTTTGTCGTTGTGCTCATCTTCCTACTCTGCTGGCTGCCCTACAACCTAGTTCTGGTCACAGACACCCTCATGAGGACTGGGGTCATCAAGGACACCTGTGAGCGCCGCAGGAACATCAACCATGCCCTGGATGGCACTGAGATTCTGGGCTTCCTCCACAGCTGCCTCAACCCCCTCATCTACGCCTTCATTGGCCAGAAGTTCCGAAATGGACTGCTCAGGATCCTGGTCAACCATGGGCTGATCAGCAAGGACCACTTGACCAAGGATGGCCGGGCTTCATTTGCTAGCTATTCTTCAGGGAGCACTTCTATCACACTCTAAGACTCCCCTGCCCCTCTCCCAGCCCCTCTAGTTTCCTCCTTCCTTTCCATCATCCCATTTTAAATGCATATTTAAGAGATGTTCACTATCTCTATGTCAAGGCAGCATTCAGTTATGATCACAGGAAGGAGCTGACATCACACCCACATAAGAACCCAACGTGGTGGCCCATCTTATCAATTCAAACTATGTCATCTGCTAGAGTTTGGTCCACGTCACTGGACTCATAGCATTCTCTTTTCGGAGGCATTTTAATAAATGTCGATAGAAAGTTTTCACCATTGGAAACCATTAGTGGCAAATATCCTTATTTGTTTCCCCCAAATGCCATGTCCCCCTTTTCTTCCTTGCCAGTAAAGCCTGTTTTCCTTTTGAGAAAAGCTGAAAAGGAGAGATAATCACTTTATTTGACTCCCTTAAACTAGGAGTGGCTGTATCATATAGTTCTAAGACTTAAGAGAAATAGTGTGCTGATAAGCTTCTCTGTAGGGTAAACAAGTCTGATTTCTGGCATTTGTCACTTTCCAGAATGTAAATATTCCCACCATGACAGATTTCAAGGGCAGGCTGGCTGTGTTTACCAATCAGTTCACAAAATAGGAAAGAAAAAAAAAGTAATAAGCTGGTCTTGTGAGTAGGTTGGTTCTAGTGGACTACTGCTTAAGTGGAAGTTAGCTAGGGCTAGGAGGCTCCTGCAATCTTCCTGGGTTAAGAAAAGATATAAGATAGGCTCTAGAGGCATAGTGTGGTAAGAAGCTGTGCTATTAACTCGAAGGCACATGGTTCAAATCTACCAACTGTTCCATGAAAGAAAAATGGGCAATCTCCTCCCAAGCAATTTATAGTCTCCGAAAACTTACTGGAGTGTGAATATTAATTGGTTCTGTCTTGATGGCACATAACAACAACAAATCTATAAGGAGGGATTTTTTTTTATTTTTTTTTACTTTCTTGGCTGCATTTCTACTCCTAGCTTGTGAACATAGTTAGAGGATAAGCTGTGTGAACCTGAGGTGTCTACTTTACGATAATGAAGCAAAAATCCCAACTAAGTGGTTGGAACTTAATAGAATAAAAAGAATCTGGGTCTAAAAAGACAAACTTGGATGACTAAGACAATCCTAGAACCACCAGGTTAAATCTTTTGTCAAATGAGATCATTAAATATCTCTTTTTGATATTGTGATGTCTTAAATTGTATCCCCTCCCACCTCCTCCAACCTAAAGATAAAGACTTAATAACTTCTGTATTTGTAGATGTAAACGTGTTTGAAAATAGTGTTTGAACATGTTATAAGTTGTGCTAGCATGCATTCAGACGCAAGGAAGGGAGGTCTTAACTTTACATGATTAGTGACTTATAGAAGAGGAGAAATAAAGAGAAGGGTGTAAATGGCGATTCATCTGGAAGCCAAGGAACATCTGAAGCTACCAAAATCAGGAAGAGAAGCCTGCAATAAATTCTTCCTCAAAGTCTCAGAAGGAACCAACACAGCTAACAACCTGATCTTGGACATTCAGCCTCCAGATTGTGAGAAAATAATTTTCTGTTAATATACTAGTTTGGTGATGATTTGTTACAGCAGCTTCATGAAGCCAATACATATATGTAAACCACTTTTAAAAAAATTTTTTTATTTTAATGAAAGTTTACAGACACATTGGATTTTCATTCATTCATTTTTGCAGTTTCCTCCCTGCCCACCCTTTCTCCCAGGTTCGCTTTTCTCTTTGAAAAGTAAAGATAAAAAAAAATGCTTTCATTGTTATATAACACACACACCCCACCCCCAGTCCGATCCACTATACAGCTTTCATTCTGGACGCTTGAAAGACCAGTAATACCTAATCATATATTCCTCCTGAACAGTTCACTCCTTCATCTGGTAAATCAGTTTTTGTTGGGTATTTTGTTACTTGCAGACAAAGCATCCAAACTGCTCCGGAGAAGTGGGGCAAAGTGAGCAGAGGTCCCAAATGAGGGTCTTCAAAATAAATCAATCGCTTTGCTGTTCATTGGACACATTAAACTAATAATTGGGATGGACATTGCCATCAGCTTCATCTCCAGGCCAGGCCTTCTGCTGCAGAGCGCTTATCCTAGCAGGAAATGTGTTCTGTGATCATTTCCTATTTCTCCTGTCCTTGGGTAAAATGACCTCAGGGTAATCAGGAGCAGAGCTTAGAAGGCTCAGAAGAGTTGAGTAAATTGACCAAATTAGCCAGTCAGATTGAGTATCAGGAAAGCAAAGAGCTTTCCTCAGTTGAAACAGCAACTTCTACTTAGAGTCTCTTTTCAACCTTACCTTTTTTTCCCCAAAACACAAACATAGACATCATTCAGAGTTTGACAAGAGGGCCCGTAATGCCGAATGTGGACGTAATTTTTAACATGTCACTCAGGGAAGACAAGGAATTTCAGGAAGTATTTCTTTACTGACTATTCTTCCCTAAGGGGAGCTCTGGTAGCATAGTCAGCACCAAGCTGCAATGCTAACCTAAAGGAGGTGTGTCTCCAAAGGTTCAAATCATTTCGGATAAACGTGGCCCATCTCCTCCCATTACCATCTACAGCTTTGGAAACTCAACTGAGGGTCACTATGAGTCCGAACCAACTTGGTGGCACTGAGTGAGTAAGTTTCCTGGGTTGGGACATAGTAATGAGCACAGCAGGAGACCTTCCCTGGCTCACTCTTGGAGCTTGTCTCAGAAGAGTCTTTGCCAGAAGGGTCTCTGGCTCTGGTCAGCCTACTAAGGTAAGATAGTGAGAAAAATAGAACAATAAAGTCACCAGATTTCCTCTGCGTTCCAAACGCATTCATTTTAACTACCTTCTAATGCCTAAATCAAGAAGGTAACTATATTTCCCTACCAAAGTTATGGGAAAGAAAGGATTCTTCAGGGAGACAGCAACAAAATTCTGAGCTGAAAGGATACAGACGGACGTTTCTCTTGGTCTCTCCTCATTGCAATTAAGTAGGAACTGACTCATGGCTGACACTCCACACTCCATTGGGTTTTCAAGACTGTAAATTCCACAGGGGAGATTGTTAATCCTTCTATGGATTCACACCTCTAGAGAGGTGCAGCCGTTGGGCTACTAGCCCAACACACTATGGACAACACCACGACAGCTCCATAGTGGTAGGTTACTACCAACTGTAACTCATCAAAGTGCTTTTCCTTTCACTCGGTAAGCAGGATTAATTCAGTGACAATGGCTAAACCCTGTGTCAGACATGGTGTTAAGCTCAAGATCAAACACGGCTTAATGCTCTGGCTGAGCCTTCAGAACAGCTTTTGATTCTGCAGAAGGAAAATGCATTTACCAGACACTCGAGTTGCCAGAAGGACAGGGATGTTCTGCCTGGGCAAGGCAGATGGGCCAGATGGCTCCCTGAGATGACTCTTAGAGGGAGGAGGTCAGATTAAAGTTTCACTCTGGTTCCAGGAATTGGTTCCTCCCTCTTCTACCCAAGATTGGAGGAAATAGGGTCTCTAAGGAAAATAAGACGGTGCAATGAGTCCAGAAGAAAGGAGGCCAAGACAAAGTTGCACTTGCGTGGTCTCTATTCATATTTGTCAATCACTTTCTGGTTTTGTCTCTAATTTGATGTCCTAGAAACAATCTAATAAAAAATCATTTACCAACCAAACCCTGTCCCAGAGAAAATCTAGCGCCTATTTTTGAGTTGTGCATTCCATTCTTCCCTGCATTGTTTCTCAGCCTGAGCTCAGCCATCTAGAACCTAGCTCCTTTCTGATTAGACCTCTCTGCTTAGTCTAAGTTGGTCCTCCTTGCTTCTCAAGGTAAGTTTCTTCAGAAAAAGCTACCCTTTTTTCTGATTCACAATAAGTTCACATTGTGTTTACATAGAAACTGACTCTGTGAGGTTTTCAATGACAGATCACCAGACCTTTTTCCCCAAAGACATTCTAGGTGAGCTTGAAGTATCATGTTGTTGTTAGAAGGCCTCTAGCCTCCCTCAGGTGATATTAAGATATGACCTTGGTTTATATGTCACACTGACGTCATCACATGCAGACTCAGGGTGGAGAATCATACTGTTAGACAAAGACAAAGTTGCAGGGACCTAGATATCCCTCAGACTAACCCTTTCTATCCATTAATTGGGGGAAAGAGGCCTGAGCCAAGAAACTTGGCCAAAATCTCATCGCTGCAAAGGAGAAGAACTGGAATTAGAATTCTGAGTTCAAGTTTGTCTCTATTTTTTTTTAAACCAGATATTTTTCTTCAAAGGGTGGCATTTAGGCACCTGCCAGGAAAATGGGAAAACACAGATGGCTTTCTCAGAGCATTCTGGTCACACAGGTATCCCAGTCTGCTATGTTACTGCTCCAACTCATACTGACCTGAAGAGGGGGTCATAACTGAGAGCTGGGGTGTCTCAATTATCCTGGTAAGGGTTGGGACACCTGTATGTAGGCAAACTCAGGCCAGGTACTCCTATTCTATACCAACACCAGGATAATTGAAGAGAAAATCAGAGCCCAGTGTAAAACCTGAAGACAGGCAAAAACTAAACCCTCTATTGAGGACAGACGTGGCAGTCAGGGCTCAGTCAGAGAAACAGAACTGTAATTGTCCATGTTCCTATAATGTAGGTAGGATTTTCAGAGGCCTGCTATTAAGAAGTGGGTGACAAATCCTGCTTCCTAGTCTGTCTTAATCTGGGATCTCTTCTAAAATCTGTCCACCATGGATGACTCTTGTAAAATCTGACACACAAATGGCATAGCTTTCAGCATTACAGCAAGCCACAAGTTACTTCAATACAGCAAACTGACAAACAAGTGTTATCTTAATTAGGATAAGTAATTCCCCCAAGACAACAAACTGACAAATTAGTATTGTACTTCTGATAACAAATCAGCATATGAATATTATGTTACTAAATGCAGTTGAAACTTGCGTAGATGTGACAGGATGTTCTCTAGGAGGGTGGTGAAATGTTCCAGTGAAGACTCATGACTGACATGCTAAGGTTACACCCCGGATGTGGATATTAAGGTCACGTGGACATCTCTGCTGAATTTTTAATGGTGGTGCTTCACACAAGGTCCAAGGGCCTAAGAAACTGTTGCTCACTAAGGCCTGACTTCTGGGTTGAAGATGCTTTAAGTAAGAGGCCCCAGTCACTAAAGGGCTGTTGATTAAAAAAAAAAAAGTCTGACTTATGAGTCACAGCTGGTTGAAGTAAGAGGCCCTAACCGGCTACAACCCAGAAGTCAGTCAGGTTTGTTGTTTTGTTTTGTTTTGTTTTGTTTTGTTTTTTTTATCAACAGCCTTTTGTTGGTTGTATGGGGCCTCTTATTTAAGCCAGCTATTGCAGGAGAGGAAGACCCTCTATGACGTGGATTGATTCAGTGACTGGGATAATCGGGATGGGAGTGTCAGAGACAGTGCGATTGGCACAGGACAGGGCGGAGTTTAGGGCTGTTGTACATAGGGTCGCTATGAGTCGCAAGCGACTCAACGGCACATAACAACAACAACAACAACATAATCAAGAAATCAAAGAGCTGAATAGAAAATTTCAAAAGGCAGCTCGGGATGACAAAGCAAGATACTATAATGAAATGTGCAGAGAGTTGAAGTAAAAAAATCAAAAGGGCCGGACTCGCTCAGCGTTTCTTAAGCTGAAGGAGTTGAAAAACAAATTCAAGCCGCAGGTGGTAATACTTAAGGATAGTTTGGGTAGAATGTTGAATGATCCAGGATGTATAAAAAGAAGATGGAAGGAGTACACAGAGTCACTGTATCAGAAGGAATTGGCTGACACAGAGTAACTTCATGAAATAACATATGAGCAAGAACCTATGGCGATGAAGGAGGAAGTTCCAGTTGCTATGAAGGAATTGGCAAAAAACAAGGCTCCAGGAGTTGACTGCATACCAATTGATTTATTTCAACAAACAGATGCTGCCCTGAATGTGCTAACTAGGTTGTGCCAGGAAATCTGGAGGACAGCCAGCTGGCCAACTGACTAGAAGAGATCGATATTTGTTGCCATTCCAAAGAAAGGTGACCCAACAGAGTGTGGAAATTATCGAACAATATCAATGATATCATATGCAAGCACGTTTCTGCTGAAAATTATACAAAAGTTTGGAACAATATGTCAACAGAGAACTGCCAGATGTGCAGGCTGGATTTAGAAGAGGTTGTGGTACTAGGGATATTATAACTAATGTAAGATGGATCTTGGCAGAAAGCAAAGAATACCAGAAGAATGTCTATCTGTGCTTCATTGACTATGCAAAGGCTTTTGACTGTGTGGATCACAACAAGCTGTGGCTGACTCTGAGAAGAATGGGAATCCCAGAACATTTGATCGTGCTAATACAAAACCTATACTTGGACCAAGAGGCAGTCGTCAGAACAGAGTAGGGAGACACTGGATGGTTCAAAATCAAGAAAGGGGTCCATCAGGGATGTATTTTGTCCCCATACCTTTTCAAATTGTATGCAGAACAGATCATCCGAGACACTGGGCTGTACCAGGAGGAATATGGCATCAGGATTGGTGGAAGAATCGTCAACAACCTGTGTTATGCAGATGACACAACCCTGCTCACTGAAACTGAGGAGTACCTGAAGCACTTGCTACAGAAGGTCAAGGACTGCAGTTTTCAATATGGATTGAAGCTCAATATCAAGAAAACAAAGATTCTCACCACTGGACCAGTTGGCAGCATCAGTGTGGATGGTGAAGAGATTGAGATAGTTAACAGTTTTAGTTTGCTCGGCTCCACAGTCAACACTCTTGGTAACAGCAGCCAGGAAATCAGGAGACGAATTGCATTGGGAAAGTCAGCTGTGAGGGACCTCTCAAGAGTACTGAAGTGCAACGACGTCAGGCTGGAGACTAACGTGCGCCTGATCCAGGCTATATGTAGTCTTTGCAATTACGTGCTATGCATCAGAGAGTTGGACAGTGACTAGGGATGATAGAAAGAGAATTGATGCCTTTGAGCTGTGGTGCTGGAGAAGAGTGTTGAATATACCGTGGACTGCTAGGAGAACAAACAGGTTCGTCCTGGAGAGGGTGAAGCCAAAATGTTCCCTGGAGTCAAGGATTCTGAAGCTTCATATGATACTCTGGGCATGTTGCAAGGAGGGACTGGTCCTTGGAAGGGACATAATGTTTGGGAGAGTGGAGGGACAGCGCAGGAGAGGAAGACCCTCGATGAGATAGATGGATTGATTATGTGAGTGGAGTGGTGGGAATGAATGTGTTTGAGACAGCGAGGTTGGCACAGGATAGAACGGCGTTTAGGGCTCTTGTACATAGGTTCACTGTGAGTCGCAAACGACTCGATGGCACATAACAACAACAACAACATGACCTAGAAGTTAGGCCTTTTTTTTTCTTTTTTTTTTTTTTTTTAATCAACAGCCCTTTCATGGCTGGGGTCTTTTATTGAAACAATCTTTAACCTGGAAGTTAGGTCATTTTGATCAATAGCCTTTTTCTGGCTAGAGATATTGTCATATAGATTATCAGCTACACAGAGGATATGCATTACTACATTATTTGTAAAAATCAAAGGCCAAAAACAATGTAAATGTTCACCAGTCAGATAAATTATGATAGTATATTGATATCACGGCACAAATTGAATGTGGTAGCTTAAAAAAACTAGGCCAAAAGAAAATGAAATTCTAAGTGGAACCTTAAGGTTAGGGAATCAAGAGGATCTGAAAACAAAGGTGAAAAAGACCCTTTTCCATAGAGTACATTCAAACCAGAGTGACCCTAGAAAGCAGAGTAGAACTGTCCCCATAAGATTTACAAGGGTGTAATGCCTTATAGTCCTTCCACCGAAAGGTTGGTGAATTCACACCAATAACCTTTAGGTTGCCAACCCCATACTTAATACATTGTACCATGAGGTCTCCTTGAAATGGTCTAGTCCTGCTGAATCCAATGCAGTTAAGAGTGGGTCACCAAACATAGTAGTAGCACCAGATGACTCTGATTAAGGTTTAAGTTTAAGAAGCTGGAAGTTATACTGATAGAACTGCCTACACTGGAGATGAGACATGTCCTTCTGGAATTGAAACTGCATAAGGTAAGTCTTTCCCTTACAAGTATGTATCCTACTTCTCTCTCTCCATGTTTGTTCCCAATTTCCAATATTTCCTGCTAGCCACTAGCCCTGGTCTGAAAGGAAGACATCCTTAAATTGGAGCTTCTTCCTTC